AAGTAAGTATTCCCTTTTCCATCTTTTCCAAAAACCTTCTAATAACCTTAGCCAGCATTTATATCGCCTTGTTAAATTTTCTTTAGTTGACTCGGGTTCAAGAAATTTGCCAGATGGTAAAGATGTCAGTCTTCGTCCAACTAGAAAATGAGCTGGTGTCAGCGGTTCTGGTTCTCCGACTTCACTATAAACATAAATTCAATATTGCCTCAATTTCAATTAAAATTGTTTCCAGCTCTTCAAATTTAAGTGAAGCCTTCGGAATTATTTTCTTCAAACATGACTTAAAGGATCTAACAAGCCTTTCCCAGAAACCGCTCCACCAGGCCGCCCTTTCCACATTGAATTTCCTCTCAATACCTTTATTATTAAAATAATTTTGAGCTTCTGTGTCCTTGATGGTATTCCATAGTTTTTGTAAATCCTTGTCTGCTGTTTTGAAGGTTTTTGCATTGTCTGAATATATCATTCGACATATACCTCTTCTTGGAATAAATCTTCTAAAGGACAAAAGAAAATTTTTTGCTGTTTGGCTAGACACTAGTTCCAGATGCACAGCTCTTGTTACAGCGCATGTGTATAGAGCAATATAAGCCTTCCCAGTTTATAATTATAGCAAAGAAATAAATTATAGTGTTGAAATTATTGTACCTTTTCTTGTTTTTATTTTTAACATTTAACATTTGATAAATGATCTTTTGCTTACCTTTCTTGATGATTTTACAAAACGCTTGGAATTCTTTGCCATTTTGCTTTTCACACAGAAACCTTATTTTACAGCTATTTACAACGAAAATGTTTAGATTAGAACGTTCATCATTTTACTCTTGTTGCCACTACATTTTTATCACAATCCGCAATGCGGTAAAACAATATAACGAGCATAAAATAATAATAAAAAAAAAGCCCTCTCTTGGTCAATAACATAAACTGTAACACCACAGTTCAACCCAGCGTTACCCCGCCTAATAAAAACGTGAAAGAACATCAGGCTAACTTCCCAGCCCCAGTGCCAGCCGACAATACAATTACTTTAAGTTATTCACCGAACTAATGATTGCGTTCAAGCAAATTCAAGAAGTACTCAGTGTGAAATGCATTACTAACTTTGTTAAGGTATTTTCTGCAAGCTACAACCAGCTCAAGACTACACCCAGCAGTGTTGCAAAATTAATGATGCTGCGTAACATCTTCGAGCAAGCCAACAATTCGTTTCTCAACTGCAATGCTGACTCATTCCACTCCGGTCAATTTTTCACGATTATTTTTCTCGCGGCCTTCTGGACTAAGTTCTTTCAACGGCAGCGTACTTCGTTTCTCAATCAGAAACTCAAGGAAAAAAAAACTCTTTCTTCTATTTGTTCTTTTACCTAAGAAACTCTTTCTTCAATTTGTCCAACTTTATTTTCAACTCTATTCCAACTCTATTCGGTCTTTCATAGCCTCAATTTTGTTTTCTATTATGCAAGTAATTTCCTTTTTCTTTTCTTCTTGACATGCTTAACGGCTTTTATCTCTTCCTTAACGGATTCTCGACCCGCTTCCACCTTTCCTTGAACGGCTTACATCACCTCTTTAACAGAGTTGACGGCCAGTTTCTTTTCTTGGAATGCAGCAAATGCAGTCAAGAATTGCCTGAATTGGACTTCCATCGCTCCTGTAATTGACATTCAATACCCCACCAAAAAAGCGTTGCATGCTGACACCAAAAGGTGTTGCGTGCGTACGTGTTCGTAATAAATTGAATGCACAAGTCCGATGAAAAGTGAATAAAATTTATTCTTATCACAAAAAATAAAATAAAATGCTTAATTTCCTCAGAGATATTCGTACAATATCGCAATATCTCACAGTAGTTATATTTTAAAATATCAAAACGTTGAATAGAACTCAATTCAAAACACTGAGAAAGCTAACCCAATCTCACCGCGAATTTGCTACAATCAATAACAACACTAAGTAAACAACGGAACTGAGATGCTTTGATCCGGCTTTTATAAGCTTTTTAATCATGCACGAGAACATTCTGGTATTTTCTCGATTTTTCTGGTTAGGAAAAGAGTACAATTACAAGATGTCTATTGTTAAATGCTAAATGCGCGTGCTCCTGTATTTTTACTTTTTCGGCGTAGCTTTTTCTTAAAACTTGTCGCGCGCAGCATTGCACGGCGAAATGAAACCTTTTAATAGCAATTCTACTAAAAATAGCAAACTAAATGCAAAAACCGTAACAGTATGTATGCTTCTCACGCTATGATAAATTTTGAATAACGTACGTTTGCACCCGAATATGGGCATCTGGAAGCCCAAATTTGGAATTTTTTTTTAATATTTTGTAAAGCATTTATGAGTTTTTGATTAAGAAACTCGACGGTGTCAAAGAGAGAAATGGCAACAATGTACGGGGTAGGAGAATATATCTCCAGCACGCGAGACTGTGTATCGGAAATTCTAAAGATATGCTCTTTTAAAATTATTTTGCGATATTGCTGTTGAATTGAATTTTATGGTTTAACTGCGAAGAACATAATATTTATAAATAAAGGTAACAAACAAAACGTTAAAAAAAAAGGACCCTTTGGGCGTAATATAAAATCTGAATACTTTCAGATTTTTTGTTAATGAAGAATTCATAAAATATTGCATCCAAAACAACTGTTTCCTTTTTGAGGTATGAGTTCTTTATTACGCGGAGCTAAATTTGGCGACTTATCAATAGTTTGGCGATTTCAAAATCAGTTCGTATACAAAATTTTTTATTCGGAGATCTGCGAGATTTTGACGATTTTTTTAGCAAAAACAGTAGTACTAAAAATATAAATAATGATAAAAAATGAAAATTATACTTAAGAAATAACATTAAAATAAAATATTTTCTTTTCACGTGCCATATTTTAAAGTGATATTGCTTTCCATTTTGGTGACTTCGAAATATTAAATTCTGAAAAATATAAAAGATAATAAATGCTTTAAAGCAGCGGTTCTCAACCTTTTGATTAACGCATATCATCTCAACAAAAACTGAAAGACTTAAAGTACCCCCACTACATTTTACAATGATTATTTTTCAATTTCTCAATAGAAATATTTTAAAAAAATACGTTTTGCCATTTGCACAACCTATTAAATACGCCTACATATAAAAGTATTAGAGATTAAAAACTGGTTACAATTTCAATTATTAAAATTTAATTTATAATACTTTAATTCTAAAATTTAGTGCGAAATTTGTGCCGGTTTAAAAGAGATTTTTCTTTATGTCTGGTCTTATTTCACTTAACTTTAACCGTACGTTAGGATCCACTTTTAATTTTGAGCTGTATTTATTTTTCAAATAAAAAGGTGGAAGAAGTTCCTTGTTCACACAAATAAGTTATGCGAAAAGGTAATAAAAATGTAATAGCTTTATTTGAAACGCCTTTAAATTCTTATTTAGGTTCTGCCAAAAGTTAGCATTTATGTTATTTTTGAAATCTCCAGTTAGAGTTCGATCACAGGAAATTTCTATCAATTGTTTTTATTTTTCTTCACGAGATTTTTGAATTTAATATTTAAAAATACTTTGCGTACCACCTATTTTTTCTCTTGCGTACCACCTGTTGAGAATCGCTACTATAAAGCACAGTTTACGAAACATTTCTTAAAAGAAACAAGAATGCTGCTGTAATAATTTCAAAATTAATTTCGTTTGTCTTTTTTTTTTTTTATTTTCTTAGTTTTTTCCCATGTAATTGTTTCAGAATATTTAAATGTGCATTAGTTTTCTCTTGAAAATTCACTTTACCCTTCTCTTTTCTGAAGTGTTTTTCAAATATCTTCCAGCTTTTTGGTCTTACACAGTTCGTAGGGACAATTTTTCTTTCAGATTTTAGACCCTGCACCTCTGCTTAAAAGCATGATTTATAGACCTACAATTTCCAGAAAAATGTGATGAAATAAAAAGTGTCTTCATGGTTATTAACACGTAATACAGAACGTTTATAGGAAACATACGTTTTATAGGAAATTTGTGATGAATTACTTATCTTTTGGAGAATTTTTGGAAGACCAGTGAAAAGAAAATTATTTGAATTTCCTACTTTTGATTCAAGAAATCTTTAATATGTTTATCTTACCTTTATTTCCTTATCTTACCACTAGACACAAGCATCAAAGCAATCAAAGAAAGCAAAGAAATTGAAAACCGATGATTTATTGAAGCTTCATCATATATGTCTCAGTGCACAATACATACCTCAGTGCCTGTCCTAAATTCTAAAAATTTTGTCCTAAATTTTGCTGCTCGGTGCTTCACTAAATAATAAAGGTTCATCCACATTGGCTCTGGCATCAGCCCTGATCTTATATCATTTCATATTTATTCTCTATACTCATAATATTAAAGAAAAAACAGTTTCTTGTATACATTCTAAGTACAAGCAGTTCTTTAAAATAACTTTAATTAAATCAGAAAATCCTAAAATAATGAGGAAATTCATTGAAAAAGAATTTGGTTTTATAAAGATAGAGAAAATTATTCTTTAAAGGTACACTGTTGAAACATTAACAAATTAGGCGATGAAGCAGAGACTAATGGGAACATTGACTTATTTACTGAAACAAATAAACTTGGAAAAGATGCTAAAGAAAATTGTCGTAAATTAGTTAAAATATTAGGAAAATTTTCAAATTAAAAAGACCCACAGATATTTTGTTGTTGTTACAAAACATAAATGCTTCATATCTTTTAATGTATAATTAATTATACTAATATAATTTTAGAATCAATATCATAATTTATAAATGCTGTAAAATGTTCTTACTGCTTTTCTGATGGATATTTTTTTAAAAATAAAAATGTAATAGTAACAATGTAAATCTGTTATGAATAAAGGTATCTGGCTATGTAATTTAATTACTTATAACTAACTGTTTACCTTTAAAAGTTATCTCTACATATTAAGGTTAATTACTACCTTTCCTTAACCGTTATTGTGGATGTAAGATACAACACAAAAATCTAAAACTAGCATAAAACTTTATTCCTTACATATAATGAGACTTAAAATAATGCAAAGCAAGCTATCATCTCTGGTACTCCAGTGATTTATTGGAACTTTATATTAAATATCGTGTATTAATTGGATTACAACTTCAGCAACTCTATACGAGGCTATGACACTAAGTTTCAACATTAAGCAACGTCGGACGTTCACGTCTGTTCTGATCAGCGGCTCTTTGTCCCTTAAGCAAGCAACTGTGGTGGCAATAGTTAAGTTTCTGTTAGGAGTCATGCTGATTATTATTATACTTCACAGTTCAACTTATGTCCCTTGACATAAATTTTCTATGTACCTCTGGACTGAGCGACTGCTTGACGAAATGAAGTATAAAAGAAAGAATCAGTATAAAGCTAACTGTTAGCACAACTTTAATAAAACGCCACTTTATCTTTTATTTAAAATATGTGGGACTATTATAAATGTAAAATATAAATGTTTCAAGAAGTTTTATAATTTAATGCTAATTACTTGAAAATATTTGTGAAGTCAATTTTATTCTTGAATTTGTTTTGTAATTAAATATTAGATTATGTTTAATAGTAATGTAATCCTACTTACAAATTTATTTTATTCTTAAAAATTGCAAAAGTGAAGTTCGGGTGTAGATAATTGCTTTAGTTTACTGAGTTCCTATTTTCTTGATAGGTCTTTAATTTTTTTCATTGATGGTCCTTAAAAGTAATTAAATTTCCATGTGAAAACGTGCGTACGAACCTTGAAATTTGCAACTGTTATATTTGCTGTTCGAGATCACTACAGTGTTACAAACTAACTGATTGTAACTCAATACTCTATAAATGTGTTGTGTACATTAGATAGTGGTGTTCTAAAAAATATGGTTTATAGTTCTGAGAAGTCTTGATTCAAATAATTTTTAAGGATGCATATCAGAGTGAAAGTATATGCTTTAGAACATGTGCTGAAATATATGTGGTAGTAACTCTGTTTACAAAATGCAAATATTTATTTTCTACTGAACAAAGTTATTACAATTTAAAACCTTTTCCATTATATAGCTGAAGCTGAAAATTGATTTGTTTGTTCGTATTTTACAGTGCATCTTACAACAAGTAGAAAACGTGAAGAAAAGTTAGAGCATAGACATTCACAAAAGAGCATTGCATAATTAAAAATAATAAATATTGCTCTAAATCCAAATCTGCATATTTAAAATAAGAAAAAACATTGTTTTTGGCTTTGTATATAATTTAACTTTAAAAAAATTTCCCATTCAAAGAAAAAAAATTCTCACATTTCTTGCATGTAAAAAAAGGTTGCAATTCACAAACATGTTAACTAAATTTTGATGGCATTATTTGAGATTTATAATCATGCTCACACCTTCATTACATAATCCGGAAATGGATTATCAGCTGTTCATTCCTGGTGTTCTGAAATTTCTGCACTATTGTCTGCTTTTTCATCCTCCTCTTCATCATCTGCAGCACCCAACTGTAATTTAATACCTTTAGAGAGGATCAACTCAGAAGTTCTGTCCCAGAATTCTTTGATGTTCTTTTCTGTCCACTCAGAATTTCGCACATCATGAGAGCGACAGTCTTTGAACAGCCTTCCTGAATCCTTGAGAACATCTCTTGATGACAAACAGTGAAGGATGGTTTGGATTCCTTCTTCGGTGGTACGGTAGAGGGCCTTGGCACAAGTTTGGTTCAGTTTGCCAAAAGGTCCTTCTAGATGCCGATACAGGCCAGTATTCACATAACCTAATTAATTTAAAACAGATTATTATTCTTATTAGAAAAGAGTTGGTATGTAGCATTATTAAATATCAGTGAAACAAGTAATGATGATCTGTCCCGTGCATCAGTATTCTTTTGTAGATAGAATAATTTATGTAAACGAGTTCCTGTTATAATAAGGCACTTCATTTATGTAAGCTCAGAAAAAAAGAAGTTTCTTATAGAATAATCTTTTTTTAAAAATGGATACGATATAATAGAATCTAAAAAGAAAATTATTTTATCATAGAGTTTTATGAAACAGGAGAACAATTTTCTTTACAAAATTCCATCCATAATTGAATATGACGAATAATAAAAGCTTGAGGCGGTTTTGATAATAGTACACAAATAATTACTAATTACAAATATATTTAAAAACTTATTTGTTCGAATATCGCAAGGGAAAAGCAAAAGTTGTATCACGGTAAATACAGAATGCAGGCGGATTACACTATATGCCAGAAAGTGTTGGAAGAGGAAGCATTCATTATCTTCCGCCCCTGAGAATAAGATGGAGAAATTTGATAACAAGTTTGATGGCCCTTTCGTTACCGAAAGGATAAAAATGGGCAACAGTCTGTGGCTAATACTGATCAAGTAAAATCATGCTATGAAAGATCTGATTTTCTAGTGTTAAAACTTTTTTTTCCAGGAATCGGGAAGACATCCATAAAGTAGTAATGCTGAAATCAGCACAGAAAAGAGTTGCAACTTCCACCCCCATCTCAAGAAGAGAGTCAAATATGATACCACAAAGTTCCAGTGCCTCTGCACAAAAGGAAGCAAACACGGACAGTGAACAACACCGACAGGCAGCAAGCCCACCAGCGGCCGAGCGGTAAAGTCGCTGAACACTGGTAGTTCGGTCCGAGGTTCGAATCCCGCGAACGGGCTGGCTGCATGGGCGTTTTCGTGGGTTTTCCCCATGTGTAACGTGTATACGAGCCAGTTTCCCTTAGAAAGTCCTCCACGAAGGCATCCCTCCCCTTAGGCAGATAGCCCTAATGTGCTTTGCCATAATTAAATACACACATACACACACCGACAGGCAGCAAGCGGGTTATTCTGTTTTAAAAGTAAAGTGGTCCGAGGGTTTCCCACCCCTCTTTGCCTACACCAATCTCTCGGGAGGACTTTCGGCTAGCCGCATATTTAGACTGCCCTTATGCGGAACGAACACTAAATATGTACAAACATCCGAGTCTTCTCCGGAATTCAAACCCGGACCCTTCGGCACGGCAGTCAGCAACGCTAACCATTATACCGGTTAGGCGGCTGACATACAAGTTCTATCGCTGGGTACTCAAGCAGATAAGGACAGACGTGTTCCGGGCCTGCACTAATCTGCTCGAATATTAACGCAAGGATAAAATTCTGGACCGTACAGTCACTTGTAATGAAATATGGATTTACTTTCAACAACACGGCCGAAAAGAGGGTCTGCGCCCTTCAGCATCGCAAAGCGTAATTTGACTAACAAGAAGATCATGGAGTTGCCATGCGATTATCCACAAAGAAAAGGTAAAACCCTCGACAGTAAGGTGTAGAGCGAGATGCTAGTCCGTGTTTACGCTGTTATCAAGGAAAAATATCGAACTGAGTTCCGGTGCAAAAAGGAGTTATCCTCCATCAAGATAATGCAAGACCACATGTGTCTGCATTCATCGGCTGGACGCTGTACGGACTCTAATGGGATCTTTTGCTATACCCACCATATAGCCCCGATATCGCTCCTTCGGACTTCTACCGGTTTTCACACCTGCAGCTATATCTTGCTGCTGCTGTCTTTCATTCTGCAGAGGACGCCCGAAATGAGGTTGATCTGTTTTTGTACTCCTGGCCACCAAGTTTCTGAACCGAAGGCTTTGAAAAACTATCAAAACGTTGGCAGAAAATCATAGATTTGGGTGGTGATTACTACCCCCACTAAAGATACTGCTTTCATGTTTTTTTTTTTTTTTTTTTTTCTCTAACTGTATTAAGAAAGTATTTTGGCGGAAAACTTTAATTACAACTAGAAAATTATAGACTGAAAAGTATAGACAGATGTGATATTTTAAAATTTTACTGCTGAATCAGAAATAGCTTTAAAAACTTTAAAAAAACAAAACCTGATTCATTGGTCAGGTAGGACTACCTTGCTAAGGGCAGCAAAATTATGCTACAGTGGTATTCTGACAATTTTAATTGAAATCTACCTTAATAGAGCTAATTAAAAAAAATAAATAATGGGATGAAGTGTTACAGATGAAAAAGAAAACAGCACATCTTGAATTTATTGTTATTTGTATGTTTACATATAAATGTTTATTAATAAAAATTATTCTTTTTAGGTTATTAAGATTGTTTCTGTGTGGTTTCATTGTTAATACATTTTGATTATTTTTAAAATAGTCTTTAGTTGCTTAAATATATTAAATAAAACTCAATTATTTGAATGAAATGGATGTTGAATTTATAATTATCTTTTCTAATATAACATTTAGTATGTAAATGTGGGTATACAGGGTGAATCTGAACAAGTAGGCAAAACTTTACAAGTAGGATTTTGCCTAAGGCAGCGAGCTTCGTCATAGAATCCTTCGGGAGTTCTTTCAAGCTATTGGGAAGTACTGCCACAGTGTAGTAGAAATCCAGTATTTAACAACTTAGTATTTTAGTATCCCAATAGCATTTTCTACCGTGGATTCCAGAGAGGATTCCTGTTATACGAGCCACGAAATTTCCAGGGCGATTAATTGGTGGAGGTGGTCCCATAGCTTGGCCACCAAATTCACTGGATCTCTTGTATTTGGACTTTTTCCTGTGGGTCCATATGAAAAGATATGAAAAGCCTGATCTTCGAGTGCCCCACTGAAACCAATATGGATCTAGTCGCCAGGATCGCCGTCGCTGCCAGCGATGAAATACTTGGTGTCTTCGCAAATATGCGTCAATCCCTATCCCACAGGTGTGTAGCCTACATTACAGATTTATTACAAATCAAGCTGTTCACAGCGGATGACGCTTCTGAGGTCTGAGGTCCACCTCGTGGTTGGGGAAACGGCTAGTAGTACCGCCATCGACGCTGTTCCTTGAGGACATTTGCTGGAGGCAGAGCCAATACCACTACGTAGGTTAATTAGGTACGGTATATAACTCCCATCGGCTATATGCTTAAGCGGAGGAATGCCTTTGTGAGTGACGTTCTAAGAGAAACTGGCTCGTATTTATGTTGCAGCTATGACTATTATTTAAATTCTGAACAATTTCAAAATGATTGGGATAACGAATAGATAATTCTAGCTATAACGCACAAAGTATCTAATCCTGCTTGATTTTCTTTGTTTTTAAATATTATTTCAGATCTTTCAGACGGGAATACTTACCAAGTGAGAACACTGATACTGATGAGATAGTTGTGTATTCAATATAATACTACACTACGCTACACATAGTCGAAATAATATGTGGAAGTGTATTCTGTCAGGTCTTTGGGGCCGTTTCCCAATATCTGTTGCAAGAAGAATTAAAAAGTATTAGATGATACTGTACAGTAATTTTCATTACATTGTATATTCACGTATTGAAAACTATACTACGAAATTTCTGTGAAATACCTTTAAAGCCTCTTTTTTAAACATATATTTTAGTATACTCTGCATTATCAGAGTTGATATTTACTTCAGTCGTATTTGGCCTTTATCCAAAAAGAAAAAACAATTATGATGTTTTTCCATACTTTCATTTTCATTGAATGGCCACTCAAAAAGTGAAAACACTTTTATTTTACTAAATCAATATGTATCAAAGTTTTATCAAAAAGCAACTGTTTCAGATAACATAGCTTTTCTCGAAAATATCAAAAGTGATATCCGGAAAGAGGTACAAATTATTGAGGTATGTCTGTAAAAACCATACTTCTCATGTCAGAAATATTTACTGCCAAGAACAACAAGCAGGCTGTTAAAGGTGTAGAAGGAAAAAATAATAAAGCAAATCTCAGTCTGCAGTCTAACTACAGACTGCATTATTTATTTTTATACCTGTAGGTTTCCAGAATTTTCCGGTTATCTTTTGTACCATTTCTTTTTAATGCAACAAGGTAAATAAAAAATAAAACTCTTTCTTGTGATTTACAATAAATATTATTACGAATTTTGTACGCATGTACATATACTTTTAGTGAAATTGTAGCTTTGCCGGAAAAGTAAAAGTACAGGGGAAAGTCTTTAAATACTGAATAAATGGCTATGGCTATTTCGCTAAATAGGCAAGATTTCGCCAAGCTGGGAACGATTTTGTGGACTATTTTTTTGGCGAGAAAGCGCCAGAGTTATCGACATTTTGGTCCGGTCCATGGATAACTGAAATTGGTATTCTGAATGAATAGACCTAGATCTACAACTGTAACCATATCCGGCCTTAGATGTAACTTTAACCGTATATACCTTGGAGTAATTCCGAGAAATGGAATTTACTACAGATTTCTCGGCAACTGGATGAAAACTATGTAACACCGGAGACAGCATCTGCTCTCAGTTGTTAGTTTAGAGCTGAATTCGAAGCACTAAGGTATCCGTGAGAGCTTCGTCTTTTGCATTGCGTTGTGTTTAAGGTTCTTATTAGTTTGATTCTGTTCTGTGACAAGAACTGTAAAGTGTTTCTTTTGTCGATAAAATAGACAAATTTTATCAAGTTATCGTCGTTCTGTGTGCAATCAATACGTGACGAAGCCGTACGCACGCCACAATATGTACATATTTGGGCGTAAGGGAAAACAAATCTGATACCCGCATGGAGTACTCTCCTTGTTATATTTATTCGGTTATGAATGTATAAACTGGCAAGATGTATTAGCTCGTATTAGATGGAAACTCTTCTTTAATTATACTAACCTGGGTCAGCAGAAAAGGCAATAATTCCTTCTTCGATGTACTTATTCGCGAGTTCTTTGGTGAACAAGTGCAGACCCAGTTTGCTGCTTCGGTAAATCTTTCTCATGTCATAACTTCCTTCCGTTTTCCCTTCTAGCTCATCCATGCGGACGATATGACCGGAACGAAAACTGCCACAGACTACGTTAACGATGCGTGCCGGACAGCTAGACGTTCCGTGCTTCAACATCTTCTCGCAAAGTAGGTTTGTCAAGAGAAAGTGTCCCACGTAATTGACACCAAGCATCAAGTCCAAGTTGTCAGATGTCTTGCCTTGTGGACAAAGAGTAGCTGTGGAAATTTCAATGAAACATGACGTCATTCAGTCAAAAACAAAATTTAAAAAAAAATATGCAATATAGAAATGATCAAACAAAATTTTATATTATGAGAAAACTACAAAGAACATTACCCAGGGTCTATTCGTTATTTTTAAGCATTAATTTGGATAGCATTTTTTCTGAGTCAAAAGAAACAGTTTGATAAGAAAGAACTTCTATCTAGCCCTGTGGCCAAAGAGATATGATCCTAAATGTATAATAATTTGCACATTGATATTTAACGTATAATTTTGATACAAATACATATAATTTGTATACATCGATATTTAACTTAACATATACACAGAGGCTGTTCGTGTTTTTTAAACGATTTTCATTGTATTTACAGAAATATTTTACCTAAAAGTTATGTGTTTTAAATGTTCTATTTGATAACCCTTATTTTTCACTATCCTTTTGCACTGTAATTTCTATAAAATTAAAACCCCTTTTGGTATCCAAATGTACTATATTTTATCTCATGAACAGCTTTCCGAAGTCCAAGAAAGGTTGTAGGTTGATGTTTGGACAATCCACTTTTTATTAGTGCAAAATCACAAAACTCCGTGGGTATACAATTGGAAATTTAGGAGGGATATGAGTCAGGCGCCTTCACGCTCGTTTCTTGTTCCATTTTTTTCCAGAAAATTAACAGTGGATTTTGACGTATGGCTGCTTGCTTTGTCTTGATGCAGTTCTACCAATCGATGGCACTGTGTCTAACGAGATGGTATTTCACATTTGAAATGTGGGAGTAAAATATGTTGCTGGTATTATGCTCAGTTGATATGAAAATTTTTCTCCAGTCTCTTTATTTTTAATTTTCCATCAGGAACAATCATAAATCCCTTTGAAAAACTTTTTAAATTCTTTGATGTTTTAAGATTTTTTCTCCTCTTTGATGATAGCAAATCCCTAAAAAATTCCCTTTCCCCTAAAGATTTTGCAGCACGTTCAGTGTTCGGCGATAAGTCGTGCAGAAAGACGATACACATTGTTTCTTCGCGTTTTTCAAGATTCAGATTAGCATTAATGGCATCATTTTGTTTGCAGTTGACACTGGACAGTTTAATGATTCTGCAACTGTCCTTAACGAATTTTCTTTAAGATTAAAGATCTTACATTTACAACATTCGAAAAAATCCGTTTTTTCCTTGAATACATATTTAGAACAATTTTTCCACTTGAAGCCAAAGTTTGACGTTTGTTTCCTTTCATTTTGTTGATAATTTTACCTATCGTAGCTTTAGATATCGAAACTCCATGGCTTTTGCTGTAGTTTTTAGTAACCAGAAATTAATAATTTTCTTTCGAATGAGCACAAGCATAGCCTTCCATACACCGCTTCTTTAAAAGCTTGATGCTGCATGAAACAAAACTATCATATAGCAGATTATAATTTGTACTTTCAAAAATACAGTTGTAGTGAAACAAAGTCCAAGCAGACGACTGCCTTTCCTGGCAAAGCAGAATCGCCTAAAAAATGTGCGACCAGCTTCTGTGGAAAAATGCTGAGTCAACAGGATGCAAATTGATTAGCTACTCCCATTAAGATGTGTTAGCTGTGTTTTAATTGCAGTTGATCAATGTTTGGCGCAATTTTCTGGAAACTGGCATGTTTTTCAACCTGGCCAATTTTGTAGGGATGATTTCTTGAACCGTGTCTCGATCCGTTGTTGGTAATGGACTAGTGGTCCGAGTTTCCTGTTTGGCCGCAGTCACACTAGTCAGGCCAAAACACTTGAGACACGTCATAAAATTGCCATGGCCATGTGACAAAAGAACCATGTGATGAGGAAAGTGGAAACTTTTGGGACGAATATAAAGGTTCGTATTACCCTGGAGTCGGAGTTCCAGCTGTTTTGGGATTGCGTGAGAATGTCTTGCCCAGGTGTACTTTTTATCATTTAAGCATGAAGTGAAAATCCTCATCTTAAGACTTAAGATATGCTTATTGCATATTTATTTTAATTAATGAATGAGTTTGTGACTTGTACAACCTCCTAAATCTGCCTCTGTACACCTCAGTAAATTTGATATAATTTGAAGTACAAAGTATTGGTGATTTCTGGCATATTACTGCCCCTCTGATTGGTACAGCGGTTAGCGATGCTGATCGCCATATCGTTGGGTCCGTGTTAGAATCCCGAAGAAGGCATGAATGTCTGTAAGTAGTGTCTGTGCCGCAAAGGCACATTTAAAACTAGATACTGAGGAGCCGAGAGTCCTCCTCGAGTGATATGGTGGTAAGACAAGAAGGATGGGAGATTCTCGAATCTGTTCTATCGGGGTGCTTTTTATTAAAATTGAGCCGGTGCTATAATTCAATGCGTTGATGTGTTTGAACCAATTCGTGTACCGTTTACTGAGTCAAACGTTTTCCTAATTGATTTAAACCATTTATTGGAAAGAGAGTTTGAAAAAAACTAATTTTCAAGTGCGGAAAATCTCAAAACCATTTGCAGATTTACTTAAAATGGACTAAACCGAAATTCAACCTCAAAGTAAGACACCTAGTTTCACTGATAAAAAGAGCAAGACGCCTTTTTTTAGCAGGATAAAGTGGACGTTAAGCTGGCGCTGAGGAGAAGCATTTTCTTGGATGGGCTCGAAACACGGACGTCAGAATATTACGTCAAAATTAGCCCACTTCCATTCCCCTAATGATACGGAACAACCGCCCCAACGGGAGTCAAAACATTCCGATCCGATTAGGCACTTTTCGCTACCACGCAAGAAAGAATACATGCACATTCGTTTGTAGAGCCATCAGGTATTTTTTTGGAACCAGGAGAATTGAAAAATTAGCAAACGCCTTCGCCGGGAATCAAGCCACGGACCTCTGGAATACCGGCCCAGCGTGCAGAACCACTATACCACGAAGGCACGCTAGAAAAGCGGGAGAAATACCTTATACGTTTTACATAAATTATAAGTAGCAACGGTAAATAAGAACATTCTTTTGATTTGCATTTTTGAGGTAGCCTTGAACTCTAGATATTAGATTAGATTACTCGTTTGAGTCATTTCTATTAATTCATTTTAAAACTGGATTGGGTATTTCTTGAAGTATATTTATCACTGAGTCACTAAATATTGTTGCGAGCATACACGTACAATAATAAATAGAATGCACAGAGGTCTGATGATAAGTTGATGAAATTTATTTTATCAAAAAAAAAGACTTCAAAGTTCTCGAAATTTCCATATAAATACTCGTTCATGTGTTCACAGTATCACAGCGTACAATCAGTAGTTAGAATTAAAACTACTAAGAATGTTAAATACGACGCAATGCAAAGCGCATCTCAAGAGACAGTACCATATCTCAGTTTACCAAGCTCACGCTCACCTCACAATTTATAACAACAGCCGAGAGCAGATGCTCTCTCCAGCCTTATATAGTTTTCACCCGGCAGCCGAGAAATGCCCGAACTTACTTCCCGAAATTGCTAGAAGACATATGAGGCCAGATACGGTTACAGCCGCATATGAAATCAGTTGCAATACATATTGCGGTGAGACAGCGACCGGATCAAAATGTTACCAACCCGTTGCCAGCTTGGCCATTTTTAAATAGCTTGTCTTATTATTTTTCCAGCAGAGCATCCTTTCTCTAGATTTTCCTGTTACGCTATGCAGAAGGATACAATTTCACATAAAATTTCACCAAAATTATCCATATATGTTCAAAATTCGTAACAACATAGGATTAGATGCAGTCAGTTTAGATTTAGTTTTATTATAGAGTCTTAGCTTGCTTCTGATATGGTTGTTGCAATGGAAAATAAAAGTACAGCCCGGCCAACGGATTTCAGAACCCTGAACATTGCTCCCTTAAACAATTTTTAATCATTCTAACATTAATAACTTAATTCCTTTCACTCTTATACCACTTTTCCCTTTTTCGAAAGTTTCTTACTCTCCGATTTTTGGCAAATATTTGAAAGAGTAAAAGGAACTTCAGAGCTGTAATGTTTGAACACAAAAACTAGACCAATTTCATAACTTTTTCCTTTTTAAGAATCTTACTCTTCTTCCTTCTTCTCCCCCTATCTCTTCTTAAAGGAGAAAGACCTCATCCATAAATGAAGCAGACAGAAAAGTTGGCTTCGAAGCGTGGGATTGTTTCTGTTATGAGTAGGTTGGATTGAAACCGCAAACGCCCTTTGCAAAAGAAACACACACGTGTGAACAAATGGCCTTGAAGATTATTTGATCGCTAACCGTTCGTTTTTAACCTGTAAAGCCTTAAACAGGGCTGTTCTTGTATATCGGTATCAGTTGCGTAGATAGAGATTTTTCCGCCTGGAGTGTTCCTCGAGTTTCATTAGTTAAAAAATTGAAAAAAAGAGCAAAACGACATGTAGGGAATAAACTGAAACTATATGTTTATTTTTAAAGATAAACTAATTCCAACATTTTAAAATTCTACACTAATATTTGTGGAAAATGCAATACTAGTCCCATACGGTGGCACAGCATGGATTTGAGCATGCGAACTTCGCTGCTCTTCTAAGTGGAAATAAACGAATAATTAATCTTGATTGCCCATCAATGATTATATTTACACTACAAACTAGGGTTTCCAAAATTACCGATATGTAAATTACGTAACTATTAACGAATTTAAGGGTTTAAATTGCGTTCTTTTTATTAAATAAATGGATGTGTAATTGTGAATAAAAGTCAGATTATAATGTTTATTTCTCAGGTATACTATACACTGAATTACCATTATATCCTAATCTAATTACAATAAGTATAAAGATTTTTATAAAATTGACGGTATGGTAAAGTACATTGAATTACCATTATATCCTAATCTAATTACTATAAAGATTTTTATGAAATTGACCGTATGGTTCCAACAAGCAGGTAAACAAAAAATTGTAATTCTCACATGTTGTATGTATACCTCGATTTGAACATGCAGATTTAATATGCAGATTTAGACATATAGTTTAAGTACAATTTTTCGACAAAGTTCAATAATTTAACAATCGCAACACCTACTTGAAAAGAAAATTATGAATTGTAGCAGGTCAATTGAGTCAATGTGAACTGGAAGACTGACGTTGAAGGTTTTTATTAGAAAATCGTGAACTTTATTCTTTAAAGAATTAATTTCCGCTAATTATTCGTTGTGAACTATCCGAGCGTAAAATAAAACGCGGGGAATTATAGCAAAACAACTGGTTAATACAGACTATGTTGCCAATCGCTAAGCCAGATGACTGCACTCATTTAAAGAAAGGGGAATTCCCTAGTTCCGTCCTCATTTTAATCAATCCAAATTGTAGATGCGACAAAAATATGAAAAAGAAATGGTTCAAATTTTTAGTTCAGATTACAAAGTATTGTTATTATTTTATTGCGAAATTTTGCCGCTCCCAAATAAAAGCGCCACCTGGCTCCCACTCGTTTCATATACAAATTTTAAAGGTTTTATGGCTAATCGGTTTTGAATTGTGCAAGATACATACGTTATACATACATATACAAGACGTCACGAAAAAATCCATTTTATAACTAGTTTTGGAATAAAGATCTTATATTATGCACGTACTTGCAGAAGTCATGCAAAAAAATAGTCAAAATAGATATTTCCGTTGAAATCTAATAACCGAAATTTTTCGCGATTACAATACAACTTTTACTTCGTACAAGGAAGTAAAAAATGTTTTATCATCAATGTTCTTGTAAATGAAAATACGATTTCAGTCCTTCATAGATTCCGAATATTCTGACAGTAGCTAGAAGTAATTAAAAAAGTGGGTATTGCCATGCTTAAGGAGATTTTTACACTTTACATCTACAAATCTTAACACTAGAATCCTTTTGTTGAGTGATTCGAGCCGTATGAATGTGGAAGTATAAATTTTGACCACTAATTTTATCCTTGTTTTCTTCTTCCATCTACTGTAAATATTGTTTTAAGTATTTTTATAATTTCACTGCGAACTGATGGAATGTCTAAAAGTTTAACTTTTACGCCACAATTTGATATGAAATATAGCAAAATTGGTACAGCTTTAATTTCCTTCCTAAAAATTTTACTCATAGTGTCAAAAATTTGTTTTATTTAAGTCTTTTCAAACCTGCTGAAGTAACACTAAATGGCATTAATAATGACAGCTATATATTTTGTTCCGGCTAGTCTAAACTGCACCAGAACTTCGAATGAAATGCAAAGTTGCTCTTTTAAATGCTATTAAAAATTTTCTTTCACTTAAATTGGTACTTTTAGAATATGCCAGCATATTTAAGTAAGTTCCTACTGCTCCTAACTAGAGTTGCCTTCTGTTTCACACATTTTAAATTACATTTCAAATTTCACTTGGCCAGTACAATCACAGACGTTTTTCAAAAACAGATAATCCGTTTTTAATTCATCTACAAGTGTGCAATTTCTTTCTGGTACTTTGGAGACAAAATTAATTTAATGTACAATACAACATTAATCGCAAATGCCTATTTGCAATTTGATCTCAACAAATGATTATACGCAACAATGATCTTTCAAGATCATTCAAGTTCTAGTGTTGCCAATTCTAAATGAAATAGAATATCGAAAAAATGAAATAAAAAGGTCTGTATCTCATAGACTTACATGCTATTCTAAATTCTGTGAAAAGATGTCTGGATGAGAAAACAAAAATTTACTAGGCCACATGCTATAAATTTAGAAAAGAAAACAGACAGAAAACATTGAAAGTACTTCAATATAGTACCTTAATAAAGACAATATTTAAAGTACTTGATACAAAACATTTAAATCGGCAGCAATAAGTGTAACATAGGGGATATTTTTTTTTAGTTGCCAAATAGCTATTATACCCGAGGTGTTGCACTATTTTTTACTTCTATACATTCTGTCATTTTAAAATTTTATCAAATAACGGGGACATATGACAAACTGACCGGGGCACAGGGACCACATCATCAAAATAGAACAGTCTCGGTCAAAGCGGGACAACTGTTGAGCCTCTAACTTAAACGCTTCCATATGAGACAACTCTACTCAAATGTAAGTGCTTGGTATGTTGAAAATGTTGTATGTGAATAAATCCAAACAACCAAACGTTCGATTGTGATTTCGGAATGAAGAACCCACTGTACAATCTTCTCATTTAAACACAATGTAGATGGCGTTACTCATACTTGCTTTGTGAGCATACGCTTGAATGATAATTATTTGCATATCACAATATATTTGTGTATCATTATTTGTGCATTATTTCATTACCAGTTCGTACAAATTTGATATCTGCCTGCCATGTTCATGTTGTAACAATTTTAATGGCCAGCGGTATATTTGATAGGTAGCCAATCTCTTGATTAGCTACTTAAAAACAGAAAACTTTTTTTTTTTCCAAAGCCCGGCACAAGTCATGATTGACATTGGCCACTACTAAGGGCAGAAAGCGATGGTGACTTTTGCCTCCTATGAAGGGACGGACGTTTACAACCATGGCCTTCCTCGGGATTCGAATCCAGGCCCCTTTGATATCCTGGGTAATATGAATTCAGAATAAGCAGAACATGATGAATGAAGTACATGCATGCTCTTTATCTCAGTATTATCTGTGTGATCCACAGTTTTTACCGGTAAAAGCAACTAAATGCAAAAGCAAATTCTTAAAGCTCTTCCTTATCATTAGGGGAAAAAAGGTAATCTAACAAAAAGTGAGAGTTCAAAATTTTTACTTCCTCTTACCGGCATTATTGACGACTGCATCAATCCGTTCTTCAGTATCCACAAGCTCTTGGCAAAAATCATACACTGAGTCCAGACTGGTCAGGTCCATGAACATACTTCGGACATTGAAAGATCCAGTTTTACTCCTAAGGAAGAAGGCAGTGGAATCTCTGCGGGCCTTCGTCCGGCAGGCCACGATGACACGGGCTCCTCGCCTCGCAAGTTCAACTGAAAGTGCACGGCCAAGGCCACTACTGCCACCTGAAATTTTCAAAAAAAGTATTTCTGAAATAAAATTAAATAAAAAGTGAACTTTACTATCTCTCGGATCTTTTCAGAATAACGGATTCTTATCCGTAAAATTACAGATTCAAATAAAAACAGCGAAAATGTACACGGACTTATTTTATAAATTATTTTCGAAGAAAGGTTTTGCAAAAAAAAAAATTAAATAAAAGACGTTAGTCGATGATTTAGAGATTCAAACAAAAACAGTAATGAAGGGAAACAATACGGATTTATACTACAAATAATTTTCGAAAAACTGTTTTTGTTAAAACGACCGGCAGAAACTATCTCTAGCAAACGAACATGAATAACGAACAAGAAAATCTATCAGAGGGAACTAATTAATTTTCAGCGTAATACACACCTAAGATTTGAAAATGCAGATGTTATTATTTTTATTAGCTGCCAAAACATACATGCGGAGTTTTTCTATAAGGATAATCAATTTGTTTGGAACCTAAAAACGTGAATAATGTTTTTCGCAGTTGAAGATTGATTGTTTGATAAAAGAACCTAACGCTAAAAAAATTATCAGGATCGAAATGCCAGCATGTTTCAACTAGTGAGAAATAAAGAATTTTATAATCATTTACCTACAAATAGGTACTTTTTCTATACGTGTCAAACAGAACTGTAATAATAAAAGAAAGAAGGTTTTCATCATTTATTCTCAAGTTTGGTCCCACTTTAAAAGTCTTCTTCCAATACTTGGAAAATTTTCATGACTTATTTACTTTTAGGTTAAATTATTTATTGATTAATTCAACATATCAGAATTATTTAAAATAAATGTCATTCAGAAAATTTAACATTTAGCTGTCAACACGTTTGAATTACAGGATGTGATCCACAGTAAGTTTCTTTATGCATTTTGGTAAATATATAAGAGACTGGTACACTTGTTTAAGAAAACAGCAAATGAAATTTAACCGAAAGTACTAGTCTTATACTTTTAGCCAGGGAAAGATGGTGAAAACTATAAGTTAAAGAAATAAAAATTATAGAAAAAACAAAGGAAATACAACTGAACAATTATCGAAATAAATTTTCAATTGAACCATGTTCGAAGAAACTTAAATTTTAAAAGCAATATTTCCAAGTATATAAACTTATATGCAACGTACCACATACATGCATATAATAAAAACAGCGGTATCCATATGTTAAGAGCAAATATGGTGCCCTCTGTGTGTGTGTGTGTGTGTATGTATATATACGCCATATTTTATGGTGCCCTCTGTGTGTGTGTGTCGTATTTTACTGCTTAATCGTGATGGTTGTGTGGAAGATGCAGGAAGAAAACGCTGATTTCGGCGAATCACCAAACTTTATTTTCACACATATGAAATTATTTTGGTAGACATTTATCCAATTATAGTTAAATACGACAATTTTTACGTACACGGGTTTTAAAAGTACGACGTAAGCATTTTAGGCAGGGAAGCAAAAGCGGCGCAGAGTTGTTTGCATGGCAGATGTCAGAAAAAAAGGAATGACGGAATGACGTAGTTGCTTGCGAAAGCAGTATTTATACTAAGTAGGTGCATAAGTATAACTAAACGGCTATTGGTTAATTTTAGGTTGTTATGTAACGTGGAAAGATCTCGAATTTGGGAGAACACATGAATTTTGGGGGGAGAACAAATTTAGAATAGTCAATTTTGAGATGTTGCCAATTATTCGGGGATGCATAGCCATCGTGGGTGTCTCAGCACCATGTTTCAGAACTTCTAGGAGGGGCAGACTGTGCCCCAACGACTCGGAATCATATAGCAATGCAGAGTCTGAAATGCTTTTCTGACGCGGTAGATGGCATTGCGCAGAAGTTCCGAGAGTTGTTCCAGGAAATCGTCATTTCGCCCAAGGACGCATAATAGAATAAATAATTATACGAACGCGGAGTTAGACGATATACATTTGGCATTTGGGGCTACAGATTGTAGTGGGCGAGCCGCAAAGCGCTTGTACGCGGAACGGTATCCTATGATGCGTACACCCCGCCATAATTTCTTTGCAAGGCTTCACCGAAGGATAGCTGAAATAGGTTCCTTTCAAAGAGCTGCCAGAATCGGGCACAATCAGCATAGACTCCGGACGTCGTAACGAATATGCTACATTAACGTCGTAACGAATATGCTACATTAGGTACAGAGGACTCCAAGTTTGAGTAAGCAAAGTGTACAGGGTTTCCTGTTCCTGAGCTGGAGGTTTCTCAAAGAAAAGCAAATGCATCCGTACCGCGTGCTGCGTATCCAGGCACTTCAATTTGGCAATTATGTACCTCGTATTGCTTTTCCACAATGGTGTCTTGAAATGTGGGCTACAGATCTCTGTTTCCCTGATAATGTGTTGTTCACCGATGAGGCATCCTTCACAAGGGAAGGAATATTCAAAGCACATAACGCCCATCTCTGGTCGGTAGAGAACCCTCATGCAACACGACGTTGTGCTGCGCAGAGTCGGCTTTCGGTTAATGTTTGGGCCGGCATTATGAGGATCACTTCATCAGACCTTACCTGTTGCCGTTTCGTCTAACCAATTGTAGCTACTTGATCTTTCTGTAGCAAGTCATGCCACAACTTCTAGATAACAAGCAGATTTCTGCATCGATGAGACAGACAATGTGGTCCCAATACGCATTTCATTCATAACGTTCGTACCCACCTACACGTCAGATTGGGCCAACAGTGTATCGGACGTGGTGGTCCGTTGCAATGACCTGCTCAATCACCGGACCTATCAGTTTTGATTCTTTTTTATGGGAGCATATGAAGCCACTGGTTTATGACACTCCCGCTGACATCCACAATACATAGGTCATTAAATGACTTATTACGGTAGGAAAGGCCAAAAGACCAATCATTGATAAAAGAATTCCTGAATGTTATTTATATTCATTGCAGCCTTTCTAATGTTACTACATTTCATCAATGATTTCCTTAAACTGGTTGTCAGCTCAGTTAATACAGATCAGGGTAATAAAGAGGTTCTATTGTTATTCCGAATAACAGGCTTATAGGCCCGTCAGAGAGCGTTCTTGAAATTACGCGTGCCGGAATATCGGTGCGCTGAATCATTGGGTGGTAAATTGTTGCACTTGTGCTGCAGACGAATCTAGTAATATCTATTGCCAATAGTATTACTAGATATTAATCTGGTAATATCTATTGCCAACTAAATAAAACTTAATGTAACAGTGTAACATGAACGCGATAAATGTTATCTTTCGAATGTTGTTATCAATCTGTCGGAGCGGACACGATATTTAGGAAAACACTTGAGAATTCATTGTTTACTATAATTAACAAGTCGTTAAGTGGAATTTAAATGCTACTAACTGAAGTGTTTTTCCAACTAAAATTAAATCGCCAAACGAAATGTTTTCAATATAGTACGTGCTTACTTTAATTTTTTTAACACTTATAAATTGATTAAAGACGTGTAAAAAGTGTAATGACCTTTACTACATGAACTGGATGTATGAAGTTACACAGCTAGGGCTGGCAAGAGCTTTTACCGCTCGGGGCTGTACCTAAATTTTCCGCACCTCTCGATATTCAAGCAAATAACTTAAAAAAGTCAAAGCAATTAACTCTATGCTTACATTTTAATTCCAAAATTTTAAAATTATATTATTTTGCTTTTTATTAATTATTATTATTACCCCGTTACATCATCGAGGAAGATATTGCAGAGGTCTACTTGATTACTTGATTTGCTCCAGTTACTATTATATACAAAATATAGAAAGAATATTTGAAAAAAATATATATTTTTAAGTCTTAACTATTTCTTAAATGATTTTTACTTAAAGACACTCTTCCCACAACTAACAATTACAGCAACTGTGAGGAATGTTCATTGTAATGTTACAATATTGGGAACTTTATTCTTGAAATGTATTTCAGAAGAGACTGCCAAAGTCCAAAATGACCGCCCTACCAAGCCCCAGGTTCGTTTTTTCTAGCAATAACTGAAATAAAACTCTGAAATAATTTTCTCTTAAGGAGGAATTCTTCCTTATTAATACCACAATCATCATAAATTAGTTAATTTCGCATTTTACATTCAAAACTTTCGTATAATAAGAGTATGTAGCTACTGAAATTTTGTATTAATTTCTTTGAATATATTTCTAGGGTAAAAACTACTTTTTTTCCCAATTTAATTACACATGTCAATTCATTATCTCATTATTCTTCACCCGTCAAGACGATCCACACGATTAACCTTTGTAATATAATTTTTAATGTGGAAAATGAGCCACCCGGGGCGATCGAACCCTCCGCTCTCCTCTAGCCACGCCACTTCTACACGAAGAATTTTTTAGAAATATAATTAGAAAGGGAATAAGGAATTGAGGAATATCGTACAGATTAACAACTGCATAGCGCACAATGTAAGGTTCTTCAAGTATAGCATAGTTACATTCTTTCCGGCAAATATTATATCCATAACGTAATTTTATGATCAAGAAATTACTAGAGAGAAACATATGTCTGTAAAACAAGAACTCGAATCCTCTGGAAGAAATGAGTGCAATCCAAGTGTAAATGAGCAAGAAGGACTAATTTTCTATTGCTTAATATAATTTGGTATCGCATCTCAGAAAGTAAAACGCATTTACATGCATAGATGCTAACCCTAAAATTTGAAAAACCGGGATGCGTAATGGCAAACCGCACATTGAGTTGATCATTGTTAACGAATTTCGCTTACTGCGCATGCTGAGTGTCGTACCGTTGGCGTGGGAGAAAATACTGGCGACTAAACATAAGCAACCTTACACAAGCCTGTTCGTCATGTAGGTCTTATCAACTGTTTACAATTGCACTACTACGGAAATTTGTTTGTGCTTTAATTGTTGCTTCTTTTTCATTTCATTGTGATTTATTTTGCTCAAAACCATGATAATAATTTCTTTGACTATACTTCAGTAATTTAAACTGGATTTATTCCTTAATTTGTTAAAG